CAGCGGTGGGCAGACAGACAGCAGCTCGCTCCCTGCCCAACATAAGCTCTTTTCACCAGTGCAGGTGCCCAGACGAACTTGGTTTCCAGATGGGGTGTCCAAATTATTGCATCTACTTAAATTCCTGAACGTTTAAGTATTTTTGTCCTCCTGTCAGCACTACCTGGTCTCTCTGTCCCAAAATTTTGCCCTCTGTTTTTTAATCGTTCGCCATTTTACATACCTCACAACTTGAGAGATAGCACAAGGGGCACATTCTGCCCATGACCAGGCCAACAAAATTATTCAAATCTTCTAAAATCCAGCTACATTACATCTCACTTCTTTTTGCTCTGATGCAATCGGCGCAGCTCCAGCTTCATGTGAAGGACAGGAGCTGGAGAAATGAACTCGCAGTGCTCCTGTAATGACTTCTGACCCGCAGATTATGCCATCCTGAGCTGGCTGAGAGCTGTCGTGAAACTGCTAGGAAAAAGAAAATAATTTTTCTCCCTTGTTAAAGCTAATTTTACAGCAGTGGTGTGTTTCTGTTCTCTGTAGAAAGGAATACACTTTTTTAAAATGTTCTTGCTATGAAATCTGTTGTGACCTGTGAGCAGTATAAAAATGCAACTCGGAGATGCTGAACAAGGCTATATATCCATTGGGGGATTTGGAAGCGAACACAGTGTCAGCACTTAACAAATAATAAATAACCATCATTAATTATTGATCACAGCCCCAGCTAACCAATTTTCACCCCTGTGGGTACCATGATATAAAAAGACCCCTTTTATACAGGCTAGTAAAGGCCTTGCAGCATGCTTTCTCGCCCGGCGTTTAGCTCTCCGCCTCGCCAACCCGGGAGCCTGCCGACTGCTGAGCGGTGATTCGGGAAGGGGGTGAGAGCTGATGCAGCCAGGCAGAGGCACCTCTTGCTCTCGGCACATCCGCAGCAGCGGGTCCTGCGGCACTTGGGAAGCTTTGCCGCCGCCTGGCCTTATTTCACAATCAATTTGTGAAAGTGTAATACGACATAGCTCTATCTCGCTGTTCTGAGAGCAGAAGACTGCCTGCTGCCTTTACGGGGACGTTAAATCATGTTATAAAATGCAAGCCCTTATCAACATCGACGTCCCTTGATGAAGATATATACCTCAGTAGACAGCTAACCCAGTTTGCTTATTTACTATTCACGATAAATGCTCTGGATTGAATTTCCTCATCTTTATCTTTCTGTGGCCAGAGAATTTGTTTTCTCTGTGTGAAGGCACTAATCCTTGCTCCCGCATCCCCAGGGGACGTGTAGAAATGCAAAAATCTGCCCAATATTTGGGCAGGTTGGCGAGCATGCTTCTTCTGCTCTTTTACTGATCCCTTGGCTGTGCACAATTACGAGCAAACCACAGATCAGTGGCCGCTTCCAACGGATATTTGAGGGCACTTCTCACACCTTGCCCTGCAAGACACTAAACAGCTGTCAGCTTCTCAGGGGAGTAGAGGGACTACTCAGAGGACATTCACCACTTGCGAAGAAAACAACAACAAAAAAAGAATCTCTTTTTTCCTCCCAGAAAGTCATACCCACATGTTTTTCTCCAGTGAGCAGAAAAGCCTTGCAAAGAAGTCAGAGCAGGAAGTCAGGAGAGCAAACAGCGTCCCACCAGTAACAAAATGGGGACCTGAACTCCACATTCCTGCAATAGGACATGCAGCAAGCCCACCAACTTTTTAGCAAAAAAAAGAATAAAAGGAAGAAAGATTTGCTGAAGGAAGAATTAAATACATAATGCAAGCCCTAAATGCAACATTTCTGGAAACTTTGAGAACTGCAAATAGAAGATAGTGCGAATTTTTTACCCACTTTCTTATTTCCCAGTAGATGGCCCTATCTCCCAGACAATTTATGAGCCCTCTTCCAAACCCAACATCTATCTTTCTTTCAATGATATTACGCCTCTTCCCAAAAATCTCCTTGAAGCTGTGCATTTTAGTGATTCTTTCTTGCTGGAATGCCAATTCCAGCAGATAAGAGCACATCAATGACAAATTTCCAAAGCGCATGGGATGGGTTTCAAAATCAGGAGACTTTCACGAGCCTTCCTGTTCAGGACACAACACTGACCACGACCATGGCAAGAGGTTTAAATTTGCTTTTTTCTGAGGGTGCTGGGAAAGCTGCTTCAGGGGCACATGCCAGCAAGGGAGCGCGAGACAGTGACACCACCTTCTCTGAGAAATCAGGATGGCAAGGAGAGCAGTCCCTGGGAGAAGACCTGCCTCCTGCATTAGACAAGTTTCTCTGCTAAATTGTACTCCTTCCTGGTCAGGCAAAAAGCAATTGATTATTTGTCCTGGAAAGGAACGAATTAATTATCCCCATCCCTCACTGCTTGGGGAATAGCCTTAATTTCGCCGACTTGTCCTTGAAATAAAGCTTAAATAATGCTACAGTTTCCTTTATGCATTTTATGGCAGAATATAAAGAAATACAAAAAAATACATAATCATATAGAGACAAATGCATATACAATAACCTCCTTCAAGCTGCCCAGCAAGTATAGCAGGCAATCACACCACTCTTCAAATAGCTAGACATGAAAATTGTGGAAGAGATCATTAACTATTCTTTACCCTCCGCAGTATCCCAGAATGAATTTTTTTTTTGAGAGATACTCCATTGCAACACTCTGGCCCTGAGCAGCCCCATTCCTGTTGTTATTATTCACAAGGTCACGCAGAAGTCTACTGAAAATGCTTTGATTATATCCTAGAAGGGAGTATTAGCAGCCTTTCAGCCTGGGTGACCATGAGGGCTTTGTCTTCCGTCAGATAAGCAATCCCTCCTGGCTGGAGGTAGCCAGCAAGGTACCGACACGCTTCCACTGCATGGGGGGACCCTGGCCTACGTACCGGGCTCTGGCTTTGCAGAAATGATTCTCCTTTCTGATGGGCTATGGCAGCTGAAGTCCCTGCAGCACTGCATATGTCTGGATCTCTTTATAAAGTCTTCCCCAGTGTCCTGCAGACAAGCTGGATCATTTCCTCCAAGGCAAATCAAACAGGAACAGGATTTTCCCCTCTCCTCAGCTCATGCCTTTAGTCTGTTGTGCATCCCCGTGCTCCACAGATCTCACATTGCTCTAGGGTTTAAGGCAGATTCTTGTTGCCTCAGTCAAGGGATGCGGAAATAAGAATAGAATAGGATTTAGACAGCAAAGCTGCTAATAGGGATAACTGAGCGCAGAAGACCCTGCCCGAGTGCACAGCGTGCTGCTGCCTTCCCATGCACGGGATTTCGCATCGGCACAGAAAGGACGTGGGGAAAGAAGAGGGCATCTAGTAGAACATTTCCCCAGCCCACGGGCCAGCATCCTCCTGCCCCCGTGTCCGTGCTCAGCTCACTCTCATGGGACGGCCGGCCATTGAACCCTGGCTTCCGCAGGCGAGCATGCTGGACCCTGGAATGAACAGGCTCTTTTCTCTCAATGGCATCGATTATTTCTGTAATGAGTACCTCATTGCCAAAACTGAATATCCATTATCACAAGATTCCAAAAAAAAAATAACCCGGGGGGAGAAAGCTATAATTCAGAAGGTGTTCTGTTCCCGAAAGATGCATGTTGGGTCAATGCCATCTAGAGGCAGCAAAGACAGCGTGTCACGGCATGACAGGGAGGGAGACCCAAGAGGTGGTCCTGCATATTGCCCCAGCGATGCAGAGCCACCGGCCCCGCTGGCTTCTGCTGGACATATTGATGGGGAGCCATTACTCAACCTGGAAGCCCTGAAGAGCAGAAAGCACCGCATCCCGCATCCCTGGCCCGTACAGTGTGCCAGCGAGGGAAGCCACAGCCCTGAACCACCAAGAGCGGGATCAAGGCATAGCCGAATGCTCTCCCCGCTCACAAGCAGCCTGCCTATTAATACGCATGCAGGTGTATTAATAGAGATGGGTAAACACAGGCGCAGGCCAGAGGAATATTTCAGCGTTTCATTTTCATCCCAAATTAGACAGAAACGGCCAAAGAGGAACATGAGGAAATGAGAGAGAAGAAAATAGCAAATCTTTTTTTCATGGGTGAGGTCCACGCTGGGGGCCTATCTGCCTATGCCACTCTGTCGCATTGGCACCCCCGGCTCCTGCGTCATGCTCACGTACACATTTATGGCCGGTATACTTATTTATTTGTGACAAATCTACGCATGCAACCAAAGTGGCTCCCCCAGCCTGGCAATTCCCCCGAGATGGCTGCCAGCAACCCCCAGGGTTTCTAGCTGGACTGCATCTAAGGCGGGGACAAAGCTTGCACCAAAGACAGCTGCAGCTGCTCTAAAACTGGGGACAAAAGCCTGTGCTGTCATCAAGCACAAAGGAGCCTCCAGCTTGCTCCTGTGCTTCCTGCCTCCATCCGCCCAGGAGCAGCGAGGGTCTCCAGAAGCATCTCCAGAGCACAAACAATTCCATTCAGTTTTGTGTATTTCTTTTTTTCAAAAAATACGAATTTATCTTCACCATATTTAAGAGCAAGGAGTCTGCATAATAAAAGATTAAAGTGGCCCTCTATCCTTGGAAACCCTGTCCTATTTTGCAATTATTATAACTTACATATCATCCATTCCTGGTTAAAGAAACAGAGGGAAAAATTTTCAAACACTTTCTAATCTTGCACAGAGCCTGCACGCAGTGTTAGCATTTCCTGACGACACCCAGCGTGGTTGCATGTGGCAAGCTCCACTTTTGCTTTTTTTTTATTAATATTAATTCATATTTCCATTGCTGGCTTGCCCACAACCTGCACTCTGCCATGCTGGGTGCTGGACTAATGAGAACACTGATGCGTGCCTCACCATGGAACATTGCTGTATAAATAAATGGTGTATGGTCATCATGTCTTTTGCTGAGATTTTATGCCTGTGCTCACATTTGGGTTTTTAGGGCCACTGAGAATTGCTGCTGCATTTCTCCCCCTGGGATTTGCACTGAATGGTTTCCCAGGACGGCGCCCCCCCACGGACCGATGCCAATTGGCTCTAGAAATCAGCCAAATATCCCACGATGTTGCCTATCTACAGGTATTATATCAATGAAGAAGCAATGGCTCGGCCCATACAACCCCAAATTATACGATGTAAATCCTAGACGATCCCTCAAGGGAAATGCAGGAACTCTGGTGACTCTGGGGCTGGGAATGCAATCGGAAATCAAGCGCTTTAGGTACGGAGTAATCACCATAGCAGAGTTTTATTAAGCAAATTATTACTGAGAAATTAAATAAAGCAGCAGGA